CAGGTTATGTAATATGTATAATATGGTCCTATTTATGTACAAGTGTATTCATATGTCTGTGCACATATGCCCATATGTAGTCAAGATCAGAAGAATGTTTACCAACCTATTAATAGTAGTTATTTCTGGGTTCTAGTATTGCAGGTGAGTTTTACTTGTCTTTAAACTTCTTTGTATCATTCTAGTTTGGGGACTTTTTTTATTTCTACAATTAGTACCATTTTTACTAAGACAAATGTCTCTTTTTCTAAAATAATACTAGCTTCATCAAATACGTATATCAAAAACAAAATACAAAGATGCTTCTCTGCTTTTAGAATTAATCATAGAAATAATCATGAAGTAGTCAAGGCTTTTCTCCAGCTTCCTTCTTATTACATGCTCACACCACCACTCTGGAACTGTCACCCTTGATTGCTTGACTGCAAGGTCTTGACTGGTGGTCAATCAACTCCCACCAAAGACATTAACAGATGTTAGTGTTCAGTTAGCAATAAACAAACCAGACCAGGAAGTTCAGGCCTCTGGAACTGTCACCCTTGATTGCTTGACTGCAAGGTCTTGACTGGTGGTCAATCAACTCCTACCAAAGACATTAACAGATGTTAGTGTTCAGTTAGCAATAAACAAACCAGACCAGGAAGTTCAGGTCACCCTGCCCCTTCCAATGCCTCTCCCAACTTGCTAAGATTATTGATTTCCATGTTACTATATTAGCATCGACTAGACCCTAGGGCACACAACAGTCATGTAGCTTTTTAATTAATGACAGTTGCTTAACAGATTTACATAGCTGTGTGTATAATGTTGTTGACGACAAACTATTCAATGCTGAACCTCTCATCCCTAGATATTTATTTACAGCCTATTTCCAATTTGTGTGTCTATGTTCTCACAAATTGGATGTGATAGTTTTTCAGTCATACTCAAAATGTGATCTGTGGACTGATGCTGATCCACAAACAACTCACAGATCTGCATGAGATAAAGAGATATTTAAGAGTAAGCATTTAGAAACTTCTATAGCAATTTGAAAGAGCAATTTTATGCTGCTGAATCAAAAATAAGAAAGAATTGGGGTTTATATTTTATGTGCTTTTTAAATTTTCACTTTTCTAGTAATTGTTTTTATTGCATTTTATTTAAAAAATCAGTTCATATAAATTAAGAAATGTTTAATTTCCAATTTTTAAAAAATGAGCCTAATTTTTTTTAAATGGTCTCTTCTCTCAGTTTGAGAAGAACTGGCTTATATAATTTACGTACAGCAGCATGTTTCCTATTGCTGCCATAATAAATTACCAGCAATTTTGCAGCTTAAAACAACAGAAATTTATTATCTCACAGGTCTGTAGGCCAGAAGTCTGGATGGGTTTAGCTGGTTTCTCTGTTCAGTCTCACAAAACCAAAATCAAAGTGTCAGCTAGCTGTCACCTGAAGGCTAGCTTCCACAATGCCTTCTGATTGTTAACAAAATCCAGTTCCTCATTTTGTATGACTGACACCCCCATTTCCTTGCTGTCAGCTGAGGACCACACTCAGCTAAAGGTCTCTGTCTAATCCTTGCACATGAACCCCAACATGTCAGAAGTAGCAATGGAGCATCGAATTCTTCTCATGCCTGAAGTCCCTCTAACTGCCCCTTCTGCCACATCTCCCTTGCCTCCAGCTGGAGAATGGCCTCTGCTTTTAAGGGCTCATGTGATTAGATTGGGCTTACAGGGAAATCCAGGATAATCTCCCTACTTTAAGGCCCACAGCCTTAATTACATCTGCAAAACCCCTCTACCATGTAAAGTAACATATAACACAGGTTTTGGGGGTTGCGGTGTGAATAAATCTGTGAAGGGGCCATTATTCTGCCTACTACAGAGAGGGTGAGATGAAGTCCAGGAGTCCTCACGAATTTGCTTCTCCACATAAGGAACCTGAGGAGTGAAGACTGCAATGATGGAATGACAGACAGTGGAGGTGACGTGTAGGGCAAATCAAACCCCTATAGGCAGCTGCCTGACTGGATGCTGGGAAAGTCAGCCCTTCTAGTCTCATTTTCCAGTCTCATGGGCTGCTTAGTGAATAAGAGTTTCCAGCTGACTGCACCAGTGAGAATGTCAAGTGGAGATAGTCATGCACGACAGGGCTCCATCCCACTAACCATGAAAGGGAGGCAAGACACAGGGCAACAAGAATGTACATACAAGATTAAAAGAAAGGACAAATAGAAGCAGGTTACTTGTGAAGAAAAAAGTGAAGAAACAAAAAGCTCTCCACAGTCTTATTTCTTGGGAGGCAAAGTCATGGATAACAAAGGCCCTTAGATTTCTTCAGACTGGAAGAGGAAGCTGATAGAGCTGCATGAGAATAAGAATGAAGACTGCCACCACCTCGGTCCCAAGAACAACCACCGTGGGTCCAACCCTGGCGTTCAAAGACACATGGCTTTATCACCTCATCTCTTTTGTGTCATCACAGACACCCCTTCATTTCCCAGTTTTCCCCTGTTCAGGCTGTTACTTTGGACACCAACCTTACATCAACATTATTATCTTGTCCCTTCACTTTCACCTCTTCATTTTAAACCAAACTTTAAATTTAAACAAAAACTGATTTGCCAATCTTCTACTTTCTTCATTCTATATTGCAAACCTCTAAATCTTTTTGTTTTTTACCCCTAAACATTAAATTACAGAAGTCTGAAAATTGATCTTACCACAGGACTTTTCTCACCCCTTTACATTTCAACAGAACAAAAGAACATGATTCTGATTAAAGCCCTCCGCACCTGACACTAACATTTACACCCATGATTTTGAAATTTCTTTAAGTAGAATTCTTTGCCAGACAGAGACAACTTGCCAAAATAGTAACAGCTTCAATGTCCTGCTAGAGTTGGGAGGGTTGGTTTCTTTTTTTGTTTTTGCTTGTTTGTTTTCCCCTTTAACATGTGCATCTGCTACAAAGTTCCACTATCAAGCACTTAGTATCCTAGGCTTTGCAACTGTAAAGCTGATATAATAGTCAAAAGTGGCTATATTCTCTGTAAAAACTGCAGTAGTCTGTATGGATCTACTCAACTGTAACTTAGAGAATTCAAATGTTATGGTAGGCTTGTTTCATAGAAAGCAGGTATGACTACAAGAAAGAATCAGCCCAGCAAAAAGAATATTCAAGGATGTATGTGTGTTTAGGGGATGATGTGGGACGGTGTATAAGTAGCTACCAGCTGGTTGTTTCAACTCCATTCTCCAGGACAACAATCTGACTTCCCCCATCATTTATTTTAGTATAATCGTTTGGTACCAAGATTAGTTACACTCTGTTTCAATTCCACTGAATACTTTTTAGTCCTCATCTTATTTGACTTAGCTGTATTTGACACTATTGATCACTCCTTCCTTGAAACTCTTTCCTTGCCCTCTATAAAACTGTGTTCTTATAGTTGTCCCATGTTCACCACTTAAGTAGCAGGGTTTGAAGACAAGGCACTCTTCTGTCAGCAGTCAAGCATCCAGAAGCCTTCCAAGCTCCTAAATCTGGGTTACTTCCTCAGTCCTAGCAGTTACTAATCACCAAATTAACTCAGCATCTATTGTTTGGTCTTTCAGCCTCCCCACATGAGTTGTGATGGTTTTGAAACATATTAACAAATCCTTTGATACTTTTGCCTTCAAGAAGTGGAGCTTAATTTTCCTCCCCTTGTGGGCTGGATTTAGAGATTCATTTCTAATAAAGTGTGTAGCAGAAGTGACAATGAGATTAAAATACAAAAGGCACAGTGGCTTCCTCCTGCTTCCCTTGGATCACATGCTGGGTGGGGGGGCGGCGGGGAGCAGCTTCAATGTCACAAGGACATTCAAGCAGCCTTGTGGATAGGCCCACACAGTGAAAAACTGAGATCGCTGGCCAACAGTCATGTGAGTGAGCCATCTTGGGAGTGGGTCCTCCAGGCTCAGAGACACCTTTGAATGACTGCAGCACCGGAACCACCCCCAGCTAACTGCTCCCAAATTTCTGACCCACAGAAACTATGAGATAATGCTGTTTGAAAATCACTGTTTGGGGGTAATCTATTATGCAAGAATAGAGAACTAAAACACTAGCATTACCAATAGTCTATATTATATCCTCTCTGAAATACCAAGCACTGTTTTTACTTTCTGACTAGACCCCAACCAATACAAATGCCAATCTTTTCTGGGCTAATCACTTGCTGGCATTCTTTGGAATGAATTTTTAAAAACTAAAAGCTAAAAGATTGGACTTTTAATTAGAACTTTATCACAATTTTAAATGGCTTATAACATCAATATTCTGATATATATATCTCAACTACTAAATATATATTTGGTCCAAGTATATATTTCATGTTTTCTATATATAAATTCTCTCGTGTGTTCTTGCTCTCTCCCTCCCTCCCTCTTGCTCTCTTTCTCTTCCCCCACTAAATAATTCCGCTAATGAGAAAGGAGCTAAGGAAACTATGGTATATTAATATTAAAACACTTGACCAAACTCATATACCTAGGAAGTAGTGGAGCCAAGACTCAACAGATAGTGTACTTTCAAAATCTGTCCTCATAATCACTATGCCTCTCACAGTATATACATCTGATCACACTTAAGAACATCAAAATAGGTAGAAGTTCTCAAATTCACCAATATGGTTAAATAATCTGGTTGGTCAATATTTCCTTCCATGGTATTAGTTAAATATCCACATTTTTATTATGCAATGAACAAAAGGTTGATGTGTGTGTGTGTATGTGTGTACACACACACACATATGGACACAAAGGACAATGTGTTTTCTTTGGAGGATGTACTGGATGGCACACACATAAACAGCAGAATTCCAGTAAACTATCTATAGGTAGCTTTATAATATGTATTGTCACACCCAGGTATATGATCTACAAATTGGTTCCTTATACCTATTTACAGCAGTGATGGACACATCACCTTCTACTGGGTTTACTTAAAAAAAAAAACATTAATCCAAATCACATTGGGAGATTTTTATTAAATTGACATTCTTAATTTTGTCTACCAAGTCCTTAGTAAATATGCCTTTATTTGATACAAACCTATAGCTTTTTCTTAATACCACAGAATCATTAAGACTTGCCGTTATCATTGTTCTGTTATGATTAAAACAACATTCAAACAATTAACAAGTTACTCCACTGAAATACTTACAAGAATATTCAAAGGAGTGTTTGAAAGTTCTGCTTATAAATAGTGACTGATACATTATTATGCATTTAATGCTGGAGATAAACACATCTTATATAAAACACTGTTTTAATACACTGCTCTACTAATGAGGCTAGTTATTAGATATAATATATTTTTAACACTAAAGAATAAAGCTTTATCTTCATATTTATTTTATCTATAGGACTCTTATCAATGAGGAACTTTGTATCCAGCAATAATAAACAGGCATATTGCGAGTGATATTCTGTAGGAGAAGGAAAAAAGACAGCTGCAACAAAATAAACTAGATATCTGCATATACGTTCTTTATACAAACAGTCCATTCTGAACAGTAGAATTAAATGCAGATCAAATGCTTTTAAAAATTTGTGTGCCTAGATGGCAACTACAATCTCCACACGCTAAAAACAAAAAGAACAATTACACAGAATACAGTATTTATTCTTAACAATTATAGCACATTTAACACCTTCAGCCATCCACTGGGTTCTCAGATCAGATTGGCAACTGAAATTTCACATCCACATGGGCTTGCTTGGCTAAGGTCACTATTTCAGAGAGTTTTACAACCTGCAAGAAAAGAACAATGCATCTTTGTATCTATTTTCACAAAAAGGTAAATTCAGAACTTTAGGTCACCTCAAAATTAATGCACATTCAATGTTTTCCATTTAAAACATCTGGGCTATTCTGACATTGTTATAAATCACTTAACATTTTCACAAGTACCTGACACCCTCAAAGGATAGGCAAGTCTGACACTCCTCATAACCCACACGTCACTTAAATATTCATACTTTCTGATTAATATATATATATCTTATTATCTAAATTTTATTTATCTTACAGACAGAAACAGTGTCTTTGTTGGATACCCCACAATTCAAAGCACATTCAAATAAAAGTTTATTTTGAAATAAGTATATAATCTTAACTTAAAACATTGGGGGATAGGAGTTTGGGTCTAGGAGTTAATAATTCTACTTTCTGTCAGTAAGTTAACAATTGCCAACCTGAATTCCAATGCCCCCAACAATCTGCCTGAGAATATCCACCTGTTACCATACAAAATATCATACAAATTAGACATGTCTAAAACCAAAAAACAAATTCAGCTTTTCCCTTCACCAGTAGAGTAGTTAAGAAATGGCTTTGTATTTAGGCATCTTGAACTCAAATCCCCACTCTGATGCTTATGACATATGACCTTGAATAAGTAAGTTATCTAGCCTGTTTCCTCTTCTATGGTTATTTTATAACCAAACATATTTAATGAGCAAATCCTTGAAGAAAACAGCTTAAAGTTGCACGCACAGTAAATAATAAATGGTAGCAGTTGCTAATATCATCATATTTAATATTATTGTTATGACTCCCATAATCTCCCAGTCAGTTAAATATACTGCAGTCACATCTTAAATCAACTGCTCGCTTTTGTCTCTCATGGTCTATTTAATCAAGATCCTATTGATTCTTCTCCATGTACACCAAGCTTTTAATTCATGCTTTCACTGCAAAAAAGCATATTTTCAGAAACAAGTTATAACCTATCCATTACCTTCACCTTACTTCATATCTAATTATTGCATTAAATGGACTCTTACTATCCCTCATCTTTTCCCTTCTCCAATTTATCCCACATGTCAAAGTCATCACAGGCTTTCTAAAACACTTTCTCCATACCATTCCCTTGCTCAAGATATTTAATTTTAAGTTGGGATTGAATATAAATTCCTCCATCTCTAACCTGTAGTTAAATTTTGTTAGTAGGTACTTTCCCAAAAAAGGACATAAGATCTTTATTATACTTGTGAAATGATATCACATTAACTCAGCAAACCTCAGCAACCCCTTAAAAAATGAAACTAACTATATTGAGCTGGGACAAAAGACATAAAGAATTATGTCACATGAATTTTAAAATCCAATAAATTGTTGGAAATAACCCTAAAGGACAGAAAGAACTGCAGATACAATTCTTAAACTGCTTTCGGTCATCATATTGTTGGTATTCTCATCGTAAAACTGTCAAGTCTGTATTGAGGGACAAAGTAAACGAATAATTATGATAGTATGGCATGGCAGAAAGAAGAAACAAATATCAGATAAAAAACCTGCACTGCTGAATTTGTATTGGAAATAGCAGTATGAATGCATGTATTTATCTCTTCAAAAATACATGTGTTCTTAGACTTGCCACTTAAGAATCCCAGAAACAATAACCAACCCTAGTATCCATGAGTATTCATAAAGCCAAAATTGTGGTTTCTAAATACCACTTAGCTCATTCCAGATCTGAGGCAAGAATATAAAGATAAGCCTTCAGATCTCATTACACCAGAAAGCATACCAGAGGGCATGTCAGAAGGACTTAGGAGTCAACTTGAAGAGGTTCCCACTGACCAAATATGGGACAATTTGAATCAATACAAATAACTTAAATGGACTGAGCCACATCACATATATTTAAATCCATAAGTTTAAAATAGCATACCAGCAGAGTACGCACATACACACACAGACCCACACACACCACAAACACCCGAAAACAAAAATAAAGAAACAAAATACAAAGAATAAAAACAAAAAAGCCTGAATCACTTATAGGACTGTGATAATAAGAAATATGTAATTAGCCTTTGTTCCTATTTCCTGGCATAAGACTCCTAAAATCCTTGGAATCTTCAACGTGATAAGTTTACTATGCTGAGGTGACTGATGGCTGGCAGTCCCTAGGTAGCTTCAGGATGAGGGCTGACCAAAGCAGAATTAGAGGGGTGGAGCTTTCAGTCCCACACCCCACCCCCCAACATCCAGGAAAGGGAGAAGGGCTGAAGGTTAAGTTGGCCACCACTGGCCAGTGACTTAAGCAAGCATGCCTACATATTGAAGCTTCCATAAAAACCCAAAAGAACTGGTTTGATGAGCTTGTGGATAGCTGAGCACATGGAAGCTTCCAGGAAGGTGAAAAAGAACACATTCATGTGTTGGGAGGGTGGGACGCCCCAACTCCACAGGGACAGAAGCTCCTATGCTTGGGACCCTTCCAAACCTCATTCTAGGTATCTTTTCATCTGACTTGTTTATTTGTATCCTTTAAAACATGCTTTGTAGGGGCCGGCTCTGTGGCTCACTCAGGAGAGTACGGCGCTGGTAGTGCCAAGGCCACGGGTTCGGATCCTATATAGGGATGGCCGGTGCACTCACTGGCTGAGTGTGGGGTGGACAACACCGTGCCGAGGGTTACTACCCCCTTACCGGTCAGAAAAAAAAAAAAAAATATATATATATATATATATATATATATATATATCCTTTGTATAAACCTGTAAATGTAGTAAGTGTCTCTCTGAGTTCTATGAGCCACTCTAGCAAATTAATCAAACCCAAGGAGGGGGCTGTGGGAACCCCAATTTATAGCTGATGGGTCAGAAGCACAGGCAAAATAATGGGCTTTCAGCCAGCTTCGGAAGTAGGGCTCAGTCTTGTGGGACTGAGTCCTCAATCTGTGTGATCTATATCTGTGCTATATCCAGGTGGACAGTGTCCTAACTGAACTGAATTAGAGGACACCCAGCTGGTGTTCACCACAGAATTGATTGCTTACTTGCTGGTGGGGAGAAATCCCCATACAATGATCAGCTCATTCCCAATCTTGTTTTATCTGTATTCTTACCAACTTTTTCTCTCACCCATGTAGTATTTTGAGAGTATAGTGAGAGAAACTGAGTTTGTTTTTTCTACTCAAGGACACAATAGAACAAATTTGTTATTTTGAAAACAGGTCAATAAAAGCAAAGAATCAAATGATTATCCTGCTTTTCCTAAGAAAAATGTACTTCATAGTCACAAATAGTTAATACAGGGATGTTTTGCTTTTTAGAAAGAAGTATTCCATATAATAAATGAAAAACGACAGAATTAGACTATAACCACTTTGCAACCATTAACACAATACTGGATCTAAGCTATGATCATCAGTGGCTGCTAATACCACAAGAAGTCAAATAATCTGATATTATATACCTCCTTATGGAATAAGACAACACTAACTATAAAATATTCTTGTTCCCGGCTCCCCAAACTCAAATATGAATATGGTCAAGCCTATAAATTAAACTAACAGCTTTCAGGAAATATAGGGGGCAGAGGAACATTCTAAATTAATGACACCCCAAGGATGCAATCATTAAAACCCAGACTATAGGAAACTCTACAGGACTACCAACCTGTATTTTTTAACTGCAGAAAATAATTTTTAAAAGGGGGCAGGGGGAGAGACAGGGAACCAAAAGATAAAGAAACTTGATGACATATTAACCAACTGCAATGCAGAGACTTATTTTGATCCTAATTCTAACAAAGAACCTAGACAAATAATAAGAGAGAATCAGGAAAATTTCAACACTGACTACCTTCTTTTTTATAAAACACAACCATAATACCATTACCCCACCAAATTAATAGTAATTCCTTTACATTATTATCAATACTTTTATCCTTACACATACATAATTAAATGTATGAAATGATATAATACCTGAGATTTGCTTCAAAATAATCACAGGTGAGGGAGAAAGAAGGTAAGAACACAGATAAGACAAGATTGGGCATAAGCTGATCATTGTTTAAGATGGTTCACAGTTAAGACGTTCTGAGGAAGATTCTCTCCTTGACCAAACTTTCATCAGGTTCCTCTGAACTCTCTTTTCAACTAACCCCTGACTTTTGAACTTCCTGTTTGTCTCTGCAATGTCCAATTTTAGCAAGAATTATGCTTAAGTCTGTTTAGCCAGAATACCCCTTACCCATGATGTTTCGTCGTAGCAATTTTCTATCCACTGACCCCAACCCACTCCCACTTTTCCTTGTTGTATTCAGAGTCAAGCCCAATCTTTCTCTTCTACTGCAAAATTCCATCTTGGTAGTCCCTATACCAATCACAATAGTCCCCCTGTATGAAGTCTGCTTTACCATTCTTTAACAAGTATCATAAATAATTTTTTGTGTGTGTAACAGTTCATTATACTCATACTATTTCGCTGAAGCACTAATGATTAGCAAAATTAATAATTAGCTGGTTCGTTTTAGAATCTAAGTGTTTACAAATCCTTCACACACTGCACATTTGTCCTTAGATTAACAGAGCCCATTTACCATTCTAGCAGCTTCATCCAAGTCATCACAAGCGAGAATTTTAAGTCCACTGTCTGCTATCAGTGCCTTAGCATCATCAACTCGTGTACCTGAAATGGTTTATGTGAATATAAATAAATATATTTTAAACATATAAGCAAAAGCATTTAAAATGTTTGCAACATGCTACAAGTATGAAATTTCAACATAGAAGTACTTTCATCATTTAACATAAATGCTTTCAAACCAAAGAAAATATTGTAAAAGCCAAGAGTTATCTCTTAAAATATTTTGCCTTACCATATCCATGGTAATTCAGGCAAGTCAGAATTCAAGAAAAATCACAACAAATAAAAAATGAAACAAATTATACTGAGCAAAACTATAAGCATTTTTGCCCCAATGTTACAAACTTTCTAAAAACCACAGTTTATAAATTTCATATTATACAATGCTTTCATTTAAAAGACATAGCTATTAGAAAACTCTATCTTAAATAAATTGAACTCTTTAGAGTTATGAACTTTTAAGTAATTAGGAACAACTGCAAGATATCTTTTACACTCACCTTGTAACCGTACCACAACAGGTATTCTAATTTCCAAATCTTTTACGGCCATTACTATGCCCTGTGCAATTACATCACATCGCATGATTCCTCCAAAAATGTTTACTAGAATAGCCAGTACCTGTGAATAAAGTGTGTTTGGTAGATTAAAATTTAAAAGAAATGAGTATTTCTCCCTCCCTTCCAAGAAAATACTAGTATCCGTGCTTTATGGTAATAATGGATTCCATGGAAACATTTTCAGACCAAACCATCACGCCCACTGCTAGCTCTCATTTTTGAAGTTTATACAGTCTACTGGTCACCAGAACTTATTTCCACCTCCTTGGGAAATTTCAACACCTGGCTCATATTTTCTTTTCTGCCATATCGAGTATGAAAAAGACCTCCTAATTCCATTTACTTTTTTCCTATTAAACATAGCCATTTATCATTATGACTACCCCAAAACCATATTATAAGACAATGTCTCATGCTGAGATCTCCAATTAAGTGTTCATTACCTATCATTTCTTCATTTATCCCATCAGTGCAACCAACTTTTCACACAAACAAGGCCCTCAGAATCACTCAACTTCTGTATGCCCACTCCTGGCTAAACTTCATATTCAAACCTCAGGGCCTGTTTGGGTCAAAACATTCCTTCACCATCACACTTGCCATTCTGAATCAATGTTGTTCTGTCCTTTCCAAAAAATCACTTTCTTTTTTCCTTTTTGTCTTTTTTCATGACCGGTAACGGGATCGCAACCCTCAGTGTCGCGCCCGTACCGCGACCGGCAACGGGATCGCAACCCTCGGTGTCACGCCCACACCGCGCTCAACCAGTGAGCAGACCGGTCTGTATATGGGATCCGAACCCTTGGCGGGAGCGCCGCCATGCTCCCAAGCGCCGCACTCTACTGAGTGCGCCACCGGCCGGCCCTCACTTTTTTTTTTTAAGAGGTTTACTTCATTCAGCTACACCAGCATTTCTCAAACAGTGAAATACAAACAAGTTATAGATACACCAAAATAATGTTTCACACAACCTTCGGAGCAGCAAGGAAGGTTCTGGGACAGCTGGAGCCTCTGGGCCAGTGGACTCTGACTACAAGCAACCCTCTCCTTCTACCTCCAAGAACCCATTGAAATATTTTCTGTGAATAACATGAGGTGAAAATGAAAAATGAGCTATGCCATGCATTCCTTATCTTTGCCACGGTTATTTCTAGACCTTCAAGAAATGAAGCTCTGGAATTCATAAAGGATTAGAACTCATAGTGGACTTTGTTACTTCTCTTAACTATCTCCCTCCCATCTTACTGTGGATAGCTTCAATATTCATCACAGGTATCAACTAACACTCTAGCCTTAACGTCACTGGATCTCTACCAAGGTACTTTACCTCCAGTCTACTTCAATTAATTACTAACAAGGACAATCCTGGGCTTGACTGGAATGAATGCCTCCAAACTATCAAATGTTAAATCCCACTCTCTGCTCAATCTCCTCCCTTTCATCCCTAATGCCTTTCACTTCTAACTCCACCAAATCCAATCTTTTCCTCTTAAAAGCCTCTAGTCTCTCAACCCCTTTCAAATGTCAAAGTCTATCGACTCTCAGCCAATCTGATTTTCTTCACTACAGAGCACGGAACCTATGGGCTGGGCAATTCAACAACACTGTGACCTGCCTGCTCAATTCTGTCATATCCATTCTTCTGCCATCCCAGTTTAAACAATGCATCTTTGAATGATTCCAGCCATAGTTTATCTATTCCAACTTTAAGGAAAAGCAAAAAAGTAAGAGAACGGAAACACTAGCTTAACCTGAGAGCAGTACAATAATGATTCATCAGCAATCCTCTCCTTAACAGTTTGCATAATACTTTTAACTCTCTTCCTAAGCTTCCTGTCCCACTCAAACGTGCTAACTTTTAGCATATCACCTGCCTTTCTCCAGTAACACCTGAAGAAAAGTGTAACGTTCTCTCCAAAGCTAACCTCTCCACTTAATTAACATACTGTATCTCAACCTAATTACTGTATTTTATCTGCTCCAGGTCTTCATCCCTTTAGCTATTCTCACTCTCTTCTTAAATTCAAATCTCTTCCTCCAGATAAAAATAGTCTTTCTTCTTGGTCTTCTCAACAAACAAGCAAGCAAACACAGACCAGTAAGTTCTTCTTTTTTTTTTTTTTTTTTCCCCTTTTTGTCTCTTTTTCATGTCCGGCAACGGATCGCAACCCTCAGTGTCGCGCCCGCACCGGACCGGGACCGGCAACGGGATCGCAACCCTCGGTGTTGCTCCCACACCTCGCTCAGCCAGTGAGCGAGAACCGGCCTGCATGTGGGATCCGAACCCTCGGCGGGAGCGCCACCGCGCTCCCAAGCGGAGCACTGTAGCAGTGCGCCACCGGGCCGGCCCTAAGTTCTTCTTAACCCTACTGACCTTCATATAAAACAGCACACTTATAAAACAGCATGCTTATGCCTTCATAAAAAAATACTCTGAAAGAGTAATTTCCCCTCATGTCTCTACTCCCTCAATTCCCAATCACAACTCAATCCCTTACAAATTGGGTCCCTGACTCTACTATTCTTATTACGGTTTCCAATCATCTCTTTCAGTCCTTATGCAGCTTTGATCGCTCTTAGAGCATTTGACTTGGGTTGTCGTCCACTGCCTTACTTCTTAAAACTCTTCACTCTAAACTTCAATGTCATCACTTTCTCCTGATCTGCTCCCACATCTGCCAGTTTGTCTCTCTCTCTCTTTCGTTGGGTCTTCCTTCTCTATTCAACCCTTCAGTACTGAGGGGACAGGTTCCATTCCTGTCTCCTTGTCGCACTTGCACAGATCATCTCACCAATTCTGAAGATGGAATGCTCACTCTTCTCAATAAGCTGAGGACTCTCAAATGTCCCTCCAACCATTACAGGAAGTATAACATCATTACAACCAACTGTCTACTAGATATAGTCACCACAACCCAAACTTAACACATTCATTCAAAAATACCCATCTTCTCCTTCACCTCTGACAGCATGAAAGGCATCACCATCCAGTGATTCTCCCCAGCCAAACATTGTGATGTTAACCAACCCTAATCCATGCCCCACAAAAGAGAAAAAATGGATTTAATAACTCTATCTCAGAAACGCCTCTAAATTAGGATTCTTTGCTTAATTCTTACTGATACTGCATTTGTCAGAGACCTCTTCATCTTTTTGGACAAGCAAGCATAACCAAATTGATCTCTCCTGTCAGCGTCTCCCTACTCTCCATTTCACCCTCTACTAGCAGAGTTACCTTCTTTAAAAAAAAAAATAAAGGGCCGGCCCGGTGGCGCACTGCGCTAGTGCGCCGCTTGGGAAGCACGGCGGCGCTCCCGTCGAGGGTTCGGATCCCACATACAGACCGGTTCCTGCTCACTGGCTGAGCGAGGTGCGGGGGCAGCGCCGAGGGTTGCGATCCCGTTGCCGGTCCCGGTCCGGTACGGGGGCGACACTGAGGGTTGCAAACCGTTGCCGGACACGGAAAAAGACAAAAAAAAAAAAATAATAATAATAAATAAAAAAAATAAATTAAAAATAAACAAACAGGCAGGGGATAAACATAAGTATTATGTATGTGCTGGGGTGGGGGGTGTTAAAATCCAAACTCCTAACTATAGTAACAGGGATCTTCACAATGTGATCTCAATATGTCAACATTCTCTTTTAACATTCACCTCAATAATGCTATATTCTTACACATAAGCATTTTACTGTTCCATGAACACAGAGGCCCTCTTTGGACTTGCCTTTTTATACTTTCTTCCCTTTGCTTAATTCACTTAATTTTCAAGACAGCTCAAGGTACGATCCATTCAGTGGAGGCCACCCAGCTATCAGCTCTGTCTTCTGTTCCTCCACAGCACTATGCTCTGGTTATCACCTCAGTCCTATCATAAATATCTTAAGGGAGGACCGGCCCGTGGCTCACTAGGGAGAGTGTCGTGCTGATAACACCAAGGCCACAGGTTCGGATCCTATATAGGGATGGCCAGATAGCTCACTGGCTGAGCATGGTTCTGACAACACCAACCCAAGGGTTGAGATCCCCTTACTGGTCATCTTTTTTAAAAAAATAATAAAATAAATAAATAAATAAATATCTTAAGGGAGAAAGGCCCATATATTCCCAAGTTCAAGCACAGTGTCCAACACAAAGAGACATAATTAAGTATACAGTTACTTCAATGCTATCCACATAGTCACTCTGGGTTCATGTTCTATTTCCAACTGTAATGTCCATCACGTTAGTCCCCAGTGCTGGAACGCTCCATACACTTTTCTCCATTCTTGCACCTGGGCCTTTTAAAGCCACGCTTAAGAAAATAAATAACTAGATTTCTAATTCACCTTAGTAAGTACTCAACAGTTAGATACTTAGATTCAATCTTTAATACTCTTCTAGAGTTTATGCCAAAGAAGCTATAGAAATATAGTTCCAATAAAACTTGTTTACTTTTTTGAATAATTATTTAACAAGGGAAATAAAACACATTTTATTCCTCATTTTAGTTAAATCCTCTGTAAAAATAATGAATATGGCAAATAAGAGGCTCAAAATCTACAGAAGCTCAAAAGGAAAGGCAGTGAAATTTATTTTTTTAAAATAATTCTAGAGTCTAACACCACAAATAAAAATGTACATTGTCAACATCATCAGTAATAAATACTTATCAATAATATTTATCAGTAATAAATATTTATTAATGACCTATGCATGCACTGAGCATTATACCAGCCACTAGGAGAGGCAAAAATGAGTAAGATATGATCCCTACCAATGAGGGATTCTAAGTCTAAATTCAATAAAACTTGTTTCATGGAGACTTTTATCTTACTTTTCTATAAACCTTACAAAACCCGCACTGGCCACATAATAGGTATACTCCTTAACAAATATCTGGTGATTAATAATATGTATGTCTTTTGGATTATGATACTTCACATCCCTTGTATTTTGATAATCATTTATAAATGCATAGTTCTAAATTATAACATTGTTGTGGATTGAATGTCCCCCCAAAACTCATTGAAGCTTGACTCCTATTGTAACTATGCTAAGAGGGTGGAAATCCAATTATGGTATTTGAGAGGTGGGGCCTGTAAGAGGTGACTGGATCACAAGGACTGTGCCCTTCTGAATGGACTGATCCATTCATGGAGTAATGGGCTGATGGTTTAATGGATTATCATGGGTGTGGTTCTGATGACTTTATAGGAGAGCAAATGAGAAGATTAGCTCTTTTGCTGTTGCTCAGCCCATTCTTACCATATGACCCTCTGGTGGCCACAGGACGCTATTGTCACCCCACCAGGAAGATGGTCCTCACCAGGTGTGTTCCCTGGACCTTGAACTTCCAAGCCTCAAAACCATAAGAAATAAATTTTGTTCCTTTATAAATTACCCAGTTTTGGGTATTCTGTTATAAGCAACACAAATAGACTAATACAGGTATATCTATATGACAGATTATGCAAACATTAAAATGATTGTTTTAGAAGATACCTTAGTGAATTGTAAAAAGTGTTCAAAATATGTTAGCGCAAAAAAAAAAAAAAAAAAACCTTCCCGCTCACTGGCTGAGCGAGGCGCGGGAGCAGCACCGAGGGTTGCAATCTCATTGCCGGTCCCCAGTCCGGTACGGGGGCAACACTGGGGGTTGGGGTCCGTTGCCGGGCCCGGAAAAAAAAAAAAAAAAAAAAACCTTCCCGCTCACTGGCTGAGCGAGGCGCGGGAGCAGCACCGAGGGTTGCAATCTCATTGCCGGTCCCCAGTCCGGTACGGGGGCAACACTGGGGGTTGGGGTCCGTTGCCGGGCCCGGAAAAAAAAAAAAAAAAAAAAACCTTCCCGCTCACTGGCTGAGCGAGGCGCGGGAGCAGCACCGAGGGTTGCAATCTCATTGCCGGTCCCCAGTCCGGTACGGGGGCAACACTGAGGGTTGCGATCCGTTGCCGGACACGGAAAAAGATAAAAGACAAAAAAAAAAAAAAAACCTCAAAATACATATATTAAGATATATATGTATATATATATATGAATGAGTGGACTATATGGTGAGTTAAATCTTAATAAAATTGTTTCTAAAAAGATATATGTGTAATGTGTGTGAAATATACACACATTAACAAGTTCTGAAGAAAACGGATGAAATTAATAGTAATAAAAGTTATCTCTGGATAGAATTAAAGGTAATTTTTTATTTTCTTCTTTGTAGCTCTATATGTTTTCCTGATTCCTGGGCTTCCATGGACAACTAACATCTCCAGGAATTTTTTCCATATCTGAATGGCTCCCATGCCAGATCATCATCACCACAGCATCTAATATTTCTTTATCTTGTTTTCTAAATCATAAAGTTAACTAGAGAAAAAACTAAAGTTTCCCATTGCATTGATTTCAACTCCTCTTTCCAAACTACTGAGATCTTTTGAATTTTAATGCTCAACTAGCATGACCGCCATCTGCTAATTAATCAAGTTACTTCTCACCATTCAAATTCTACAACATAAGCCCTTACCTTTTTATCTGAAGTGATAAGTTTAAATGCTTCTGTTACTTGATGGACTGTGGCACCACCACCAACATCAAGAAAGTTGGCTGGAGTTCCTCCATGAAGTTTTATTATATCCATTGTGGCCATAGCCAAACCAGCACCATTTACTAACAAGAGGGAAAAATGATTCATATAAAGCAACAAACACAGAGAAAATAAATTAAGCTTAGCAAATCCAACTCTAACATAAAGCACGTGATACCTAGACAGCCTATATTTCCATCAAGGCCAATGTAGTTGAGATCTGCCTTAGCTGCGTCTTTGTCCCTTTCATCTTCCTGGCTCCAGTCCTGCAGGTCAAAGATTTTCTTTTGGCGATAGGCTGAATTAGAATCAAAATTGATCTTTGCATCCATACACAGCACTTTGGAAGGAAAAACAGAAAGTGATCTCAATTTCAAGACAAACACAATAAACTAATAATTAAAGGTTCTTTATTTTGTTACTTACTGAAAGTATTTCAATTATGTTCACAATGAACTCAAACTGTCTCTTTAAGAATAATACTTGAGAATTAAAACTAACCCATCAAAGTTACTGGTTCTATATCCATCCTAGGCACTAGAAAAGGAAGAAGGAAGAAAAAACTTTAAAATGTTCAAAATATTACCAAGAATTAACTGCTCCTAGCTAACCCCTTCACTTGAGACCCAGATCCCATCCCCTCTCATCTACTCAAGGACATTGTTCCAGCAATTCTATCTTTCCTACAAAATAAATACCACCCCCCGCCCCCACCTTTCTATTGGCTAAATCCCACTGACTTGCAAAATTACTGTTATTTCGCCCATCTCAATAAAAAGAAAAAAAAACCTTTTAACTCCCACCTCCTCCTTACTCTTCACTTCCTACATAGCAAAACTCCTTAAAAGACTTGTCTGTTTAAAAGAGGGATCAGCCAACTATGGCCCATGGGCCAGAGTTGGCTTGTGTCTGTTTTTATGTGGCCTGTGAGCTAAGAATAGGTTTTCCATTTTTAAAGATTATGAAGAAGAGGGCCGGCCTGGTGGCGCACTGGAGAGTGCGCCGCTTGGGAGCGCGATGGCACTCCCGCCAAGGGTTCGGATCCCATGTGGAGACCGGTTCGCTCACTGGCTGAGCGCGGTGCGGGCACAACACCGAGGGTTGCGATCCCGTTACCAGTCAGTAAAAAAGAGACAAAAAGGAAAAAAAAAAAAAAAGGATTATGAAGAAGAGAGAAGAAAGAGGGAGAAATGAAAAAGGAGAACAAGAATAAGAAGAAAAACAGCAGCACCCATGACTACCTGTGGGCCATAAAGCCCCAAATACTTATTAATTGCCAACTCCTGTGCTTATTAATTGCCAACACTTTGTGCCAAATTTCTCCTGCCATTCTCTTACAACCACTCCAATCAGGCTTTTACCTTCAGCACTCTACCAAAACGGCTCTTACGCAGGTCACTTCTCTGACTTCATCTTTCAGTACCCTATCCCTTCCTCACTCCAATCTAACTCAACACTTTCCTGGCAGTTCCTGAACAGAAAGAAAGCTGAAAGAAGTAAGCAGTTTCAGCTGCTGCCCAATGCAGGAGACAAAGTTTGGAGTCTAGCTAAGTTAACTACAAATAACAGCAAAAATCGATATTCTTTTGGAGGAAGATAATAGAATTCAGAGTCCTTATACCATATCTCCCAAAACGTACAGTTTACAACTAAAAATTACTAGATCTGTGAAGAAGCAGGGAAATGTGACCACTAGCAAAGAGAGAAAACAGTCAAGTGAAACCAAACCCAAGATGACCATATTTGGAATCATCAGAGGACTGTGAAATAACTATTTTAAATACGCTTAAGGATCTAAGGGAAAATATGGTCATGATAAATGAAAAGAGGTCATCTCAGGAGAAAATAAAACTATAAAAAGGAACCAAATGCAAAATCTAGAAAAAGTACAATATCTGAAATGAAAAATTCACTGAATGGGCTAAACAGTCAATTCGTGATGGGTCTGTGAACCTGAAGATAGATAAATAGAAGTTATCCAATCTGAAGAAGGAAAAACACTGCAACTCAGTGACCTGTTGGACAATATCAAGAAGTCTAACATGTGAAACTCAAAGGAAAAGGGGAAGAAGGATGAGACAAAATATATATACATACACATACACATATATATGAAAGAAAAATATATCAAGCCAGAATTCCTTATCTAGTGAAAACATACTTCAAAAGGAAGAAAAAATAATGACATTTTCAGACAAATGTAAACAAAATTCATCACTAGCAGATCTACACAAAGAGAAATGCCACAGGAAGTTCTTCAGGCTCAAGGAATATAACATGTGAAAACTTGGATCTATTGCAGTGATTCTCATCCAGGGCAGTTTTATCCCACAATGGACATCTGGCAATGTCTAGAAGCTTTTTTGGTTGTCACAACTGGGGGTTACTACTGGCATCTAAATGCTACTAGGTAAATATCCTGTTAAATATACTACAATGCACAGGACAGCCTTTCATAATTAAAAAATTACCCACCCCAAAATGTCAATAGTGCCAAGGATGGGAAACCTTGATCTACATACAGGTAGGAAAGAACACCAGAAATATAAGAGCAAATGAATAAATACAGTCACGCATCATGTAACAACAAGAATATGTTCTGAGAAATGCATGGTTGGGCAATTTCTTCACTGTGCAAACATCACAGAGTATTCTTATACACACCTAGATGGTATTGCCTTCTACACATTTAGGCTATGTGTTATACAGCCTATTGTTCCTACACTACACACTTGTAACAGCATGTTAGTGCACTGAATACCGTAGGCAACTGTAACACAATGGTTAGTATTTGGTAAGTATAAACATAGAAAATGTACAGTATAAAAGATTTTTAGACCAGTTAGCTCAGTTGATTAGAGCATGGTGCAGATAACACCAAGGTCCAGGGTTAAATCCCTATACCGGCCAGCTGCAAAAAATAAATTTAAAATAAAATAAAAGATTTTTTTAAAAATTGTACTCCTGTACAGGGCACTTACCATGAATGGAGCTTGCAAGACTAGAAGTTGCTCTGGGTGAGTCAGCGAGTGAGTGGTGAGTAAATGTGATGGGCTAGGACATCACTCACTGTACACTACTGCAGACTTTATCAACACTGTACACCTAGGCTACACTACATTTATAAAAAAATATTTTTCTTTCTTCATTAATTAACCTTAGCTTACTATACCTTTTTGCTTTATAAGCTTTTTATTTTTTTCAACTTTTTTACTCTCTTGTAATAACAATTAGCTACACAAAAACATTGTTCAGCTATACAAAAATATTTTCTTTCTTTATATTCTTATTCTATAAGCTTTTTTCTATTTTTAAAATCTTTAATTTTTACTTATTTTTTCACTTTCTAAACATTTTTTGTTAAAAACTAAGACACATTCTAGCTGACCAAAAGGACTAGGGGAAAAAAAACAAAAAACTAAGACACAAACATATACATTACTCTAGGCCCACACAGGGTCAGAATCATCAATATCACTGACTTCCACCTCTACATCTTGTCCCACTGGAAGGACTCCAGGGGCAATAACACACAAGAAGCTGTCATCTCCTGTGATAACAGTGCCTTCTTCTGGAATACTTCCTGAAGGACCTGCCTGAGGCTGTTTTACAGTTAACTTTTTTTAATAAGTACACTGTAAAATAACAATAAAAAGTATAGTATAGTAAATATATAAACCAGTAACAGTCATTATCAAGTATTATGTATAGTACATAATTGTATGTGCTATACTTCTATATAACTGGCAGCACAGTAGGTTTACTTACACCAGCATCACCACAAACACACAAGTAATTCACTGCACTACAACTTTATGATGGCTACAATATTGCTTAGGCAATAGGAATTTTTCAGCTCCATTATAATCTTATGGAACCACTGTCATATGTGTGGTCTGTCATTGACCTAAACGTCATTATGCAGTGCATGACTGTATATTGAAGATAGTAAAATCCAAGTTTCTAAATGTTGGATAAGAGAATTACAAAGACAGAAAATGGTATAACTAGAATGAACCTTAAGAAACTGTAGTGGAATTAGAGGTATCGATATAAGTTAGGTGATGTTTTAAAATAGACATAGACGTAAACATATGTGTATTTTTATGTACACACACACATGCACACACTCACACACACGCTTCTTGGTTTATTTGCTGAAAAACCCTAGAAGCAATGACACGCTAATAGCAATAAGCATAGTTAGTATGCATATCTTGGTGCCTAAATACATTTTCCACAAAAAGGAACCAGGACCCTTTGGAGAAAAGGCTGATTCCTGTACTGTGAGAAGGAAAGAAAAAGATAATCCTGGAACATCTTGTAGCACAAAAAGTAAAAATGTACTCAAAGAATAATAGGAGCATATCAAAAAAAAAAAAAGGGGGGGGAGAACTTATGGTCACTCAAAACACACAAATGTTCATAGCAGCTTATTAGTAACAGCAAAATACTACAAACGCAAATATCCTTCAAGAGGTGAATGTCTGAAGAAATTCAGGTAAATCTATACATTGGAATACTACTCAACAATAAAAGGAAATAAACTATTGTTACACGCAACAACCTGGATGGACCTCGAAGATACTATGTGTAGTAAAAAGTCAGTCTCAAAAGGTTACGTATTGTATAACTGCACTTACATAACATTCTCAAAAATGACAAAACTATAGAGGATGAAGAACAGATTAGTGATTTCCAGGGCAAAGGGTTGGATTAGGAAAGAATAGGGTGGAGGACATGAATACAAAGAGGTACACAAGAGAACTCTTTTGTGGTAATGAAACAGTTCTGTATCTTGATTGTTGTGGTGATTACAAACATCTACGAATGGCATAAAATTAAATAAAATTATACATACATATACACACACACAAATAAATGCAAGCTTAAAAAATGGTGAAAACTGAATAATGTATTTAGTCTGGTTAACAGTAATATAACAAAGTCAATTAACCATTTGGATATATACAATTACATGAGATATCACCACTGGGTGAAGGGAACACAAGACTCTTTGGACTACTTTTGCAACTTCCTATAAGTTGATCACTGAACAGCATGGGAGTTAGGAGTGCCAACCCACCTCCCAGTCAAAAATCCATGTGTAGCTTTTGACTCCCCAAACACTTAACTAATAATATACTACTGCTGACCAGAAGACTTATTGATAATATAAACAGTCGATTAATACATATTTTGTATATTGTAGGTATTATACATTGTATTCCTAGAATAAAGTAAACTAGAGAAAAGAAAACGTTATTAAGAAAATCATAAGAAAGAAAAAATACATTTACAGTATTTATTTTTTAAAAATCCATGTATAAGTGGACCCTT